AAAAAACATGTACTGGGAAAAAAATATTTTAGCTGACTCTCCCTTGGACAAAGGACTTCTATCTAGAATATATAAAGAATTTTTTAAAAGTCTGGCCCCCAAAATTCAAAGACCCAATCCAAAAATGGGTATCTGAGATGAATATACACTTCTCAGAAAGAAATACAAATGGCTAATACATATACGTAAAAATGTTCAACATCTTTGGTCTTTTGAGAAATGCAAATTAAAAGAACTCTAGGATTTGATCTCCCAGAGAGAATGGCTGTTATCAAGAAGTCAACCAATAACAAATGATGTGGGGAAAAGGAATTCTGCTGCACTGTTGGTAGGGATGTGGGCTGGTACAACCACTGTGGAAATCAGTGTGGAGAGTCCTTAGCACACAAGGACCGAAGGTCCCATTCCACCCAGCTATTCCCCTTCTGGGTATTTTTCCAGGACTGAAAGCATCATACTTCAGTGATATATGCTCACTCATGTTCATAGCAGCTCAATTTGTCACAGCTAAATCTTAGGAACAACCCAAATGCCCATCAACTGAAGAATGGATTAAAAAAAGATGTGGTATTTTTACACAGTGGAGTATTTCTCAGCTATAAAAAAGATAAGCTAGAGGCTTTATAGGTAAATAGATGCAACTAGAGACCATACTGTAAGTGAAATAAATCAGACCCACATCGTATTGTCTTGCTAGTGCAAAAACCTAAAAGAAAGACCAGGGAGATAGATTGGTGGTCTAAGCACCTGCCTGGTAAGCGCAAGAACCCAGGTTCGATCCCTGGTACCACATGTCATGCCAGCCCCGCACTGCGCCAGACACTGAAACCCGGCATAGAGCTAGCCACCGAAACCAGGTATGGTGGTGCACACCTATAATCCCAGCCCTGGGGAGGCTGAGACAGGGGGATCACTATGAGTCTGCGAGGCATAGCAAGACCCTGTACCAAATAAGTAAGTAAATAAATAAATGATTTTTGAAAAATTGAAAGAGTAAACAAAATATGAAAGGTACAATAGATACTGTGAAAGGAAAATAATTTGTTCAAAGGAAAGGAACAACTGGGATGAGGAAAAGGACAAAAAAAATTAAGGAATGAAAAAAGTTATTTATGTATATATGCAGGATAGCTTGGATAAACGCAGTGCTGATTTCTGCAGGTTTACTGAAAGGAGCAGTTAACACTTAAAATTTCTTCTTTTTAACTTCTTTTTTTTTTTTAGTTTTTCTTTTCTCTTATTTGGAGGGGTACGGGGGATCAAACTCAGACCCTTACACTTGCCAGGCAGGCTCTCACACTGCTGAGCTATCTCCCTGGCCCTTAATTTCTTATAACTTTTTTGAAATCAAATTTGCATGCTTATATCTGGTAATCTAACAAGTGATTTAAAGACAATGTTATGCAATAAAACAACCATTGCTGAATTCCTATTACTTTGATTACTGAAATTCTGTACCATGTCTAATATATTTTTTACTATTTTTATTCTCTTTAAAAAATAAATAAATGAATATGCTACACTCCTTCCACTAAAATCCACCAGATCAATCTGAAAAAGGAGTTCAAAACTGGGAAGCTAATTTTGAGGCCCATTAGATTAGCTGTCCAGATAGGGCCCCTGACTTCAGACTCCCCTCCATTGGCCCTTCTTAGCTCGAAGCAGTAGACAGAAGCTACACACGGCCTCCCCGTACTGCAGCTGGAGATAGCACTTCAGAGGGAAAATACTATAGATGGCTTAGTTACAAGGATGACAGCAGTTAGAAGCAGTGGGCCCTTACACAAAAAACACTCATGGCCCCAGATGTGATCACTAACGGCCAGGTTTTAAGGGAAAGAATACATCTATCTCTTACAACTCAAATAAACAGGTGAAATACCACCAACCCCCACAAGCATAATTAGACCTTGCTACTTCAAAAATTGTTTTTAATCTGTTTGCAAAAACTACACTCCATCAGAACTGCACTGGCAAAAAAGACCAATCGATGAACATGCCTAGTGCACAAGTCCTGTACAAGGACATCCAAAGAAGAACATAGGCCCAGTAGGTCAAGGGCATGCTTGTGCATGATTAATAGGCCATGAGACGACAGCATGGATGCTGTCCTGGATTATGTGTCATAGACAGGGGACATCTTTGAAACCATGAGGCCTGCCACCACCAGATCAGTCTTGGAGTCTACACTGGATTGACTACATCAATATGCTTGTGTCTTTTATTTCTGTTCTCTGTTACAGGGGATGCCAAATCTAACAACACCCAGAGCTGTCCAATCTCAAGTCATAATGTTTCAACCACTGCAGTTACAGAAAGGGGAGATGTCGGAGACCAGGCTACGGAAGGGTTAAACTGGCGACCATGGAGAGACCACTGGCCTTTGGAAAAGCTCCTATTAGGTGCTCTGAGGTCCACATGATAGCACAGCTGAGGCAGCCCAGGGTGTGGACTGCGGACACTCTATTCCAAAGTACTAAAGCTGCCACCTCTTAGAGATCCAGCAGTTCTTGTAATTGGCAAGATTTACAGCGCTTTATTCTCTGGCCATTGGTCATTAGCTTGGGCTTTTGCCTCTGTTGTGCCTTTTTCATGCACCCCCAAATCTGTGAAAACCCAGCAAATACAGTGATTGGGAGGATCCTTGTCTCTACTCCCAGAGCTCCGATTTTCCTGGAACTCCTGACACCACACCACTTGACTCTTTAAGCCTTTACCATAACTCATTTTAAGAGATTAGGGGTTAGGCTAAGTCCCCAATAATTAGGTGACTTTTATCCCTAAAAGAGAATAATGCTGTCAGTTTGTTTTCCTGAAGGTGATATTTGGTATTTTCTTTATTTTGACAACCTTTTTATATTTGCTATTGTGTATATCAGTACAACGCCCTGAGTACATTTCTTTGTGGATTTTTAAATTTAGTTCTTCTTCTATGGAATGGTATCTCCCAATATTCTAGGAAAGTCTCTCTCTCTCTCTCTCTCTCTCTCTCTCTCTCTCTCTCTCTCTCTTCTCTCTCTGTCTCTCTCTGTCTCTCTGTTTGTCTATCTCTCTGTCTCTGACTCTCTCTGAATAGTACCTCTTCTCCCTTCTACTCTACCTTTTTCACATTCTGATTAAATACTCTGTTGTTGACATGCTTCTAACCTGTCTCATACTTTATAAGCCATTTTCTCTTTAACAGTCACTTTGTATAATTTATCCACCTCTATTTTCTAATTTACTAAATCTCTATTCAGTTGTCTAATATAATATTCAAACCAGTGTTTGCTTTCTAAACAATTATAAAAACACACTTTAAAATTCTTTACCCAAGCATGTTATCAACTTAATAGTTTCTTAATGCTAATGACATTTTAATTCTGTTGTGTTTAAACATTTCACACATGCTTTATATTCTATGCCCAATAATAATTATTCAGGGTCTAGACCTAGAGTTTGTCATTCTCATTCATAACAACTTGTTTATTAGTTTGGTGTATTTTAACCAACCTCAGTCTAAGGGAATCTTGAGAACTTAATGGGTGTGGGATCCTTCACAGACCCTTCAGAGATCTGGGTTTGCTTTTGAAAGCAAACAGGAGCCCCTGCTAACCCCTGGTCTTTGGGAGAACTGAGGCTTTGGTGTGGTCCAGGTTGGCATTGTGCTCTTGTGCTCGCGTGTGCTGGAATGACAGGTGTGCACCACTGCGCCTGACCTAAAAACTTCTAGGGGTGCTGGCAACTGGTTGAGGGCCTCACCATTGCTAAGGCACTCTGCCCAAGAACCACATCCGCAGTCTCTTTTATCTTTTGTAGGTTCTGGGAACCTCCTCTGACTTCTCATAGCTTGTAACTGTAGCTAATCCAGCATCCAATTGCACCATATTTAACAGCCCAAACAACTTCACAATAATTTTTCCACAGAGTACAGGGTAGTGACCCAAAGGGCCCTCCACCACTGAGCTACCTCTGCAGCCCTTGTTTAAGTTTTGAGACAGAGTGTAAGCTGCCTCGCCTGGCCTTGAACTTGTAGTCCCTCTGTCTTAGTCTCCCAAGTAGCTGGAGTTATTGGAGCACACCAACACTCCTGGCCCATTACACAGTATTTTATATTTTAGGCAAGATCATATCCTAAAACTATTTCAGTGACAGATATTTTAGTAATGTGAATCATACTCAAGTGATATTTGGCATGCAATAATCTGAATGACTATTATTTATAGCAACTGGATTAATTTCAGATAAGGCAGACTTCAGGGAAAAAAGCTATCAGTGATAATAACATCCCAAAATGATGAGAAGCCAGTTCCCCAAGAATACATGACAACTTTTAATGTACCTGCCCCAAGCAACAGAATATCAAAATACATCAGGCAAAAACTAAAGAGTCTCTTTATGTTTATATATTAGAGAAATAAAAATCTGCTCCAAAACAGAGTAAATTATTTTATTATAACATATTTTCCCATAAGTCTTACAAAATAGACATCAGTTATTACTTTTACAATTAAAACTAACTTAAAATGCATCAAAGTAGTACTCATTTTTTAGTACTTATTTTATATTTAGAATCACATGAAAATATCACGTGGCGCCCATATACAGGTCTGTTGTTTTCACCAGTGTAAGCAGAACACCTCTCACCTCAAACACATATTCTTTGTAGTGAAAACATTCAAAGTGCCCTCACCACTCAGTTATATATACACTAGGACACCAGAATTCAATCCTCTCAGCTTACCACAATGCTGTACCTGCTCACCTACATCTCTTTCCCACTCATAGGTTTACCCTGTTATTAAAGAATATGGTCAAACTAGGAGGTTCTCTCTAGGAAGATTGACACACATTGCAAACACTTTCACATAATTTGATGGGATGGGTAAGGCTTACAGCGTTTCACCAGGCATACACACTTCTGTTCAGCTCATCCAGAAAGCACACACCACAGAAACAAGAAAAAGCCTGATTTTCCACCTGAACTACAGAAGCAACGCAGACAACTGAAATGCACGTACATGACTTTCTCTGCTTCTTCAGATTCTACAGAGATCATGACTGTTGGCAGGTCAAAAAATCTCAGCGTGTCTGTCTCTGTGAGTAGGATCTCTATATTCTTCTCTAGGTCTTCTTTGGTTATGGCTGTTTCAGGGGCTGCCCTCATAACCCGCATATCTGAAACAGACAACTTCATAAAAATCATTTATAAATTGTCACTGCTAATTTGCATTTTCTTCTTAGACACAAAAATACTGTGATAGATCATACACTGCTATGACTTAATACAGTGGTGGAACAGCCCACACGATATGTAGTCTGTTCAACCTCTCCTTGGCTGTGTCCATGTCAGTCCAAGCCTGGTCACCACCCCAGTCATAACTCCAATGGTACCCCATTGTAACTACCCTCCCATATTAATAAGGACTCTGGACATGACTGGCTGACTGCACTATCCAGCAAGAGTAAGGAGGCAAGTCTATTTGGGGGCTGTGCCAGGCACACCTTCTTACAGCCCTGAAATTGACGTCCCTAGCTCCAGCAACATTCTTCTAAGCTGACTTTTGGTATAGATTGTAGGCCACCTCTAATCATCTTGAGCAGGAGCTACCTACAGTCTTCAAGAGAAGTTCTGCGTCACTAAAGGAATAACATGGGCTCAATGTCCATACAAGCAGTATGTTGAAAAGGATTGGCCAAAACTTTTAGGATACTCCGTAGGTCAAGGTCCTTGGAAAACTGTATTACAACTACAGTTATAGCACTGAGCGAACTTGGAGTTGCTTTCGTGGCTAGTACAGAGCCACGCATGCTGTGACATAGAGGTCAGAGCTCAGAGCTGTCTGTTAACAAAAATGTGTGAAGAGATCCATGAGATCTCAGCATGGCTGACGCTTGGATAACTTTGGAAAAATGAGACTTAGAAACAGTTTCCAGACTAAAGTTCAATCTTCTCTCTCCTCTTTCCCATACCTAAGAAAAATTCCTTCCTCATCACCACTAAAA